CCTACTGACTTAGACTCTGGGCTTCATAGGTTGATAGATGATACTGACCTGGTTCATGAAAAAGTGATTATGTTAGTCTGGACCCTCCAAGAAGGAAGCACACAGGTATAATTCAATTGGAAAAAGTTTCATCAAACAAAACATCTATGTCTTTGCCAGAGAAAAAGAGCTTGGCTTCCTACCCACCCGTGGTTTAAGAGGCTGTAATGCTCCTTAGGTCAGACAATTACATGAGATTATTTTCCACACCAGGGCCTCATGAGTTACTTTCATCCAAGTGCAAATGAAATGTCTTTTCTACCTGAAATATGGTAGCCTTTAGTGCTTTCCGTCTCCTTGTTCCAAGATAAATGGCCACTGATTTTTCTTCATTGAAAAGACGGTAGATGTTGAGGTATATGTGGATTGTGTCCTGCTACTTGTCTGTCTCCTGCTTCCCTTGCCAAGAAGGAGCCATTTAAGTATATTTACCAGGGTGCTGTTGACACCAGAGGGTGTCACCTCTCAATCCTGTAGTGAAATTGCTGTTCTTGGATCCTGGGATGAGCAAGATGAGAGGTGGAGGGGTGATGGTAGCCCCAGTAGATCCCATCGTGCCCTTCACTGACTGCAGTATCTCTATTTCCTGAACCTTAGGCACTTACCCAGCAATATACTGGATTCACCTGGCATGTGGCCACAATAATTGTGGCCTTTTCCGATTCAATATTCTGCACATGGGCTTAGAAAATTTTTACAGTTTTTCCAAGAATCCAAGCTAATGAAATACATTCTAAATGTACAAAGAACAATAAATGTGGCCACAAGATATCTAGTATTTCACGGTTCTTAGTCTGAGAATCCATGCCTTTTTCCCCAAATAAATTGCCAATTCAAAGTCTGAGTCCAGTAAATATTACCAGATTGATGGTGCCATCTCACCAGGGTGATTCTGAAGTTTTGCTGTAATGGAAAAAGTACTTTGGGGATGTGGGTCATGGGTGAGCAGTACGGAGAATGGTGTCAACCTGAGAGCAGCACAAGCCCAGGTGCACGGAAGTAAATATGTCCATCCAGAGGAAGTCACATTCCATTGGATAATGGGATGAAAGTATTTGTTTTTGAAAAGACCCTTAGGGTAATTTGAAACTCAAAATTCTCACTCTTGCCCTTCCCTGCCCAAATGTCCCCTCTCAAGCTTCAGGGCCTCACACTTTTTCAGATGTGACACTCATCTGATCACTCAAAAAGCTTCATGCTTTGGGACATCACAGACTCTGAACTTTTAAATTACAGATGTTTAAATTATATATTCCAAGTTAAAGCATTTGTTTGGGCTGTGATGCCATGAATTGAACCACAGCACTGTCTTGTAACTTTTCATCCTCAAGGACCTCAGGAGATGGGCAATATTAGGGTGGCCCACTGGAATCTTCAGTTAGTGAGCAATGGGATTATATTTCAGCAGAATCCACTCATCACGTGATATTTATAGCCTGTGTGCACGTGCTGTTATCACAGCTCACTGGTTTCTTAACACCTTCTGCCAGTACTACCTAATATGATGCTACTAATGATGATTCTGGAAAATTTGATGTCATTGTATTTCCCAAGTCACATTGCTCCTTGCTGTGCCTTTCTCCATCTGTTCCTTAAATATATTAATAATCTAACTCCATTCGAGATTAAATTCCTTAAACTCCTACTAGGACCCTTGCCAGTCGTGGACCTGACAGGTTCCTGTGACAGCCTAACTCACTCACATGAGCAGGATAAAGTACACCAACAGTTGCAAAGGAATGTGTGTGGTGCAGGGAATTCCCAAGAGCTGCATGACAATCCCAGGACCAGAAACCTCTAAGTGCTGTTGCCACCTCTTTTCGAGGAGTACGACAAGTGGGAGCAGCTATGGATCCAGGGAAGACATCTGAAGTAGGGAGACTTTGTGGGAGCCATGGGCTATGTGCAGAGATGCAGCCATCTGGGCCCTAGTGAGGGTGACCTGTCCTCAAGCTTCTCCTGGACATTGACTGTCATCAGATAGATTCTGGATTAATACACAAAGAACAAATGAGCCCACTGATGCAGTTAATACAGCTGAGGATTCTGCAGCAAAAGGAGGTGTTTGAGGCTGTGGGATGGATTTGGAGATGTAAATGACAGCCACCATGTCATAGAAATATTGGTATGGACAGACACGTGTGATTCAATATGAAGATATACACCCAAGAACAAAGTGAGCATAGGTAGTATTCCTGTATGCATCCTTTAGTTTAGGTTCTACACAGGAGAGAATGAGAATGTAATTTATGGTTGTGTACTTTTTTCTCAAGGGAAACAGTCTCCAAATTCTCTTCTCTATCTTCCTGAACATCACCTGATTTGTCAATACAGTTTTGTTTAATTATCTTGTTAGTGCTTCTACAAACTGTGAGATTCCCAAGGGGCTCCAGTGATCTATAACTTTGGGAATCTGGAAATTGGTATAAAAGGTTCTGGGCTGGCAGGTCTGAATTCTGTGAAGATGTTCTTCTTGGAAATATTAGGTAAGTAGCTTAAATCAAATGCTAAAGATAGAAAATTTATTTGTTCTTCATAATCAGACCTATCGCCCTTTTCTTATTAATATGTGGTAAATGCTAAATAGTTTTTTTCTGAAACAGCTTTATCATCTTCCTATTTTAATTTCTGACAATACCAAGAGATAACATATCACAGAACATCACACTATCTGTGATGAAAAGAAAGAAATCACAAGGAGAAAATAGTCTACATTTTCCAACAAACAACCATCAAGCAGGACCCATTAACCAAGGCAATATTCTTTGTTAACATCTTGAGTGTACTTGTGAGAGGAAGATGAAAATGCAGATATTGTTAGTATATGAGACAACACATATCAAAAATTGTAAAATTTGTTCAGTTTACCATTGTTTAAGAAAGTGGAGGCCTAGGTAGTTTCCTAGGAGACCTCTGACAGTGAAGCTTACTGCTAAGGAGCCAAAGCATCATAATACTTTGCGTGGAAAATTGCTTTTCAGCAATTGTACGTCAGGAGGCTGAGCATGGTGACTGGTTAACATAAACCACCTGATTTTCTTGTTCTGATTAACAAGTTCAGGACTCAGGACTCAAGGTTCCTCCCTGCATGCAGAAGATTGGGGCAGACACCAAGGAAATGCCCAGTCTGTGTGTGTGGTCCAGCTGAGATACAAGCGCTTTTAAAGGTGAAAGTTATATGGTTTTTTATAAGATTCTCTAAGGTACATCACATCAAAAATGTAATCATTTCTCTAAGATGATCACTTCAGCAAAACTCTTCAGTGAAGGCAAGACAGAGATAAAGGGCCAGAGAGGCACTGTGGGCTCCACAGCAGTGCTGTGCAAAGGTGGTCCTGGCTGGGAAGGGAGATGACGTTGATGAAATAATGAAAGAAAATCAAGGGCCAAAGGGCTGCCTTTACTAGAAGTTACAAGAAGGCAATGTCGATGCTTTACTACTGTGTGACCTCAGTGTGGACACAGGACAGATATGTTCTATAATGCTGGACTGAGTACATTAAGTATAATGTCTCCTGTAAGTTTTCCCTCAATCCCTTAAGGAAATGACTGCTATTTCATTAAATAGATTAAAATAATAAGTTTGGAGGACTTGAACGAAGTGCCAAAAAGGTTATAAACTATAGAAATTGTCCACATCAGGACTGAAACATGGAATGGTTTATAGTTCATCTATTGAAAAGCACAATGTTATGAAGCACTTTTTCACCTGCTAATTCCATGAGTCTTTTACAGTGTTTTAATTCTGTCAGAATTAATATTATTAATAATAGAACAAATACTCATTTCCACATTTTTCTTTGTGACCTAGAGAGAAGGCTGAATTGCAAGCTCATGTGTCCTTTTCATGAAAACAGGTTCTTAATGATGCCCACAACCTATAAACTAGAGACTGCTTGGCTTTTTTTTAGCACAAAACAAAATTGTGCCACTTATTACTCCAGAGGTAATAAAAAGCCAGGCTCTGTGTTTAGTCTTTAGTCAGCTGACTCATTTACATTGACACCAAGGAAATGTAAGTCAGTCTTGTCTTATGTTCGAAGTAATGGAAGTGTCCCATTCTAGTGAACTGTGTAAAAAACAGACTGTTTTTCTGCTTTGTGGACCAAACAGGCATCTCTGAGTTATACAGTGTGCTTGCTGTCCCACTCTGTCCTGATGTTATGATGGCATGTTGCACTTTGAGAAAATATTTTCTTGGCAGACATTTAACTTGGGGAAATAAATATTGGGTGACACTGAGTATTTCGCAGACTTTTTCCTCATTTTTATCTTTGATGCAAAGATCTGGTGGAAAACTAATTGGAGGTATAATCACAACAGAAAATTTGACCACTTTTTGATATTTTAAAAATATTTTCTACTTTTCACATAATTTCTAGAAGCAATATCTCTGTTTACAGTGTGGAATGTAGTGCTTTGGCCCTGAGCACTGTATCCCATGGTAACCACGTTGGAGAAGATCATTGCAACTGTGTGTTTTCATATTTAACTGTCACTAAGGTTGGGGCACCACTAGATGAACCCTAAAGGGGACAGAGGGAAAGTTCTCTAGATCCATAGGACAGGTAATTCAGGTGTAAAAATGTCCCTCTAAGTACATCAAGACCTAAAAGATACTTGTACTCCAAAAGATATCTTTACACTGAGTGAGTAAAAGATCAATGAATTTTACAAACACTAAAAAAATTCAGGAGTCTGAGACATCATTTGAGGCTGACACATTGCTTGAAAGGAAATGCAACAAACATCCAGAGTGTATTATCATCTGACTGTTATCAAATGCATACCATTGCAATGAGTTTATTGAAGCACAGGAAAGTCTCATACCAACTGCAGCAGTTAGGATTCTCCTTTACCCTTAACTACATCTCAGGACCTAACACAAAGGATATCCTCACTGATCCCGACTGAAGGAATCAATTCCTGTCTATTCCATGCCTAGGAGGATTTCAGGAGCAATGGAGAGGAGAAATCACACAGTGACCAAGTTCATCTTACTGGGCTTCACGACAGACCCCATGATGCAGTTGGTCCTGTTTGTGGTGTTCCTGGGCGTGTACTCTGTGACGCTGCTGGGAAACAACATACTCATCACCCTGATCTGTAATGATTCCCGGCTCCACACACCCATGTACTTTTTCATTGGAAATTTGTCTTTCCTGGACCTTTGGTATTCCTCAGTCTACACCCCAAAGATCCGAGTGACCTGCCTCTCTGAGGACAAAAGCATTTCTTTTGAAGGCTGTGTGACCCAGTTCTTCTTCTCTGCTGGACTGGCCTACAGTGAGTGCTACCTGCTGGCCGCCATGGCCTATGACCGCTACATGGCCATCGCCAACCCCCTGCTCTATGCTCAAGCCATGCCCAGGAGCCTGTGCATCTGTCTGGTGGTGTTCTCCTATATAGGGGGCTTCCTCAATGCAATAATCCTAACCAGCAACACATTCACTCTGGATTTCTGCGGAGACAACATCATTGATGACTTTTTCTGTGATGTACCACCCCTGGTGAAGTTGGCATGTGATGTGAGAGACAGCTACCAGTGTGTGTTGTATTTCCTGCTGGCCTCCAATGTCATTGCCCCCACCCTGCTCATCCTGGCCTCCTACTTCTTCATCACTGCTGCCATCTTGAGGATCTGCTCCACGGAGGGCCGCCTCAAGGCCTTCTCCACATGTTCCTCCCACCTCGTCTCGGTCACCCTGTACTATGGCTCCATCCTCTACATCTACTCTCGCCCCAGTTCCAGCTACTCCCTTGAAAGAGACAAGATGGTTTCCACCTTTTATACAGTGCTATTCCCCATGTTGAACCCCATGATCTATAGCCTGAGGAATAAAGATGTGAAAGAAGCTCTTAAAAAACTCTTTAACTTATCACAAGCTAGTGTCTAATTAGCACCCATTCCTCCTATCATTGATAAATGTTATTACTTTTCACCTGCTACTTCAAAGAAGGCTGTGGAAGTGTATTATCAAAAAAATTCTATTAAATGAAATTCAACCAAAATATTTCCTTTGTGTCAGCGTCATTGTTTTAGTTTAGTTATTGAGTAGTTATGCCATATAGATTCACTTTAATTTTAATAATCTTTAATAAGTAATATCTTAATTTAATATGAACTTAATTTAATAGGGAACTATGTAATAATTCTAGCATCCCAAAAAATTACATTTCATTTTTTTTCTCTCTCCTCTAATACCGACCAATTTATTTTTTCCTACTGCTCTGATGTGATGGGTACAAGTCCTTTAAGGACTGCACTGGGGTGTGTGTGCCTCTCTCCTCCACCTTACCAAAAAATAATGAGTTAAATCCAAGGACAAGAATGCATTAATAATAAAAAATATATAAAAACCTGACAAACTAAAAATGAAAAAGCTTACTAAGGAGTTACAGGCTCTCATCAATACTTATTGTCAACAATCTACAAAACAAATATGGATTGGACTTTAAGTGCAGTAAACTGAGGAGAATGGAAAGTTAAAGATGACTCAGACCACACTGATTAATGTAAGATTCAGAAATTTTTCCTTTCCTTAATCACTCGAGAGGACCTTAATAGTTGAGTTCTCTAGATTGTCTTTTAGTTCTAATCAATACAAAGAGCTGGCATACACTGGTTTGCTTCACCAGGGTACAGTAGAGCCCTCTGTCATCATTGTTATCCATTCATTCCCATTCTGAGAAGAGCTCTCTATTTTGCTAGGACAGCTTGAAGAACACAGTTGCTTATATTTACTAGGTTTGCTCATATCAATAAAATATGAGCCAGCTATATTTAAGTTTCTGCTTATTTGTATATACAAGATAACCATCACTAGCTTATTTAAACCCACTGATCTGGTGAAGACAGCTGAAGATTCTTCAGCAAAAGGAGGTGTTGGCTGTAGAATGGATTCAGAGATGCAAATGACAGCCACCTTGTCATAGAAATGCTGGTATGGACAGCCACATGTGCTTCCACATGCAGATATGTACCTAGGAACATTGTGAACATGTGTAGTGTTTCTATATACATCCTTTACTTTAGCCTCTACACAAGAGAGAATGAGAAAAGAATTTTATAGTTGCTTACTTTTTCCACAAGGGAAGCATAGTCTCCAAATTCTCTTCTCCATCTTCCTGAACAGCACCTGATTTGTCAAAAATAGTTTTAATTGTCCTGTTAGCTCCTCTGCAAACTGTGAGATTCTCAAGGGGCTTCAGTAATCTATAACCCTAGGATTCCGGAAATTGGCATAAAAGGTTCTCGGCCAACAGGTTTGAATTCCATGGAGATGCTCTTCATAGAAATATTAGGTAAATTGCTTAATTCAGATGGTATAGATAGAAAATCTGTTTGCTTCTTGCAATCAATCCTGTATCCTCTTATACACTAATAAATGATAAGTGATAAACAAAGCGTCTTTTTTGAACTATCCTTATCACCTTCCTATTTTAATTTCTGAAAATATTAGAAGTACATATATAGGAGAACGTCACACTATTTTTGATAAAAAGAAAAATATACACACGTAATAAGCAGAAAATAGTCTACATTTTCTAATAAGCAAGCAACCATCAGGCTCCACTAACAAAACCACACACTAGTAATATCTCAAGTGAAACTGAAGCATAAGAATGAAGAAGCAGATATTAGTATAATGGACAAAAAATGTCATGAAAAATGTAAATTTCTTTCAGTTTGCTGTTCTTTAAGAAAGTGTGGAGGCATAATTTTTTTGTTTCTGTTTTTGTTTCTTCAGAAGACTTCTGACAAGAAAGTTTATTTCTAAACAGAAAATGAGGTCTTAAAATTTTTTATGAAAATTTCCTTTTTAGCCTATTAATGTTAGCAAGCTGAGCATGTTGACTGATTAACAAATACAGAGCTCAGTATTTTTCCCAGTAGACACAGTAAGTGTCAAGGCAAACACCAAGGAAATGGACACCCTGACTCTGTGTATGTGTGTGTGTGTGTGTGTGTGTGTGTGTGTGTGTGCGCGCGCGCGCGCGCGCGCGCGCGTGTGCATCCCAAGACAAATTGCAAAGTATTTATTTAAGGGAGAAAATGATGAATTTCGTAAGAATCTCAAAGGCACTGGACTGCAGTAAAATTTAATTAGCTGGATGAAATAGTCCTAAGAGGGAAAACCTTGCATGGAGGTAAGACAGGGTCAAAGTGGTGGAGAGTCACTCTGGGTTCAGTAATAGACCCTGAGAGTAATTGAACCTTGGAAGCTAAGATGAAGGTGGCATTAAACACAAATCACATCCACTTTAAAAGTTTTACATTAAAAGTTATTACCATTGCTTTACTCCTGTGTGACATCAGTAGTTACATAGGACAGATAGTTTCTTGTGGTGCTGTGCTATTTATTTTATACATGACATGCTCTAAGATCCCAACTATAGAAACTGCCCACAAAAGACTGAAACACATGTCTGTTCAGGCTCCTGTAATTAAAAAATGAAAACAAGTCGTAAGAGAATGTATTTCAGTATTTCTTATTGTAATCTAGGAACAAGCACGAATCACAAACATGTGCTGCTCTCACAAAAACAGGTTTCTGAGGCATTACATACAACCTGCCAAATTACAAAAACTTGTCCACTAATATAATACAACAAGAAAAATTGAGACTCACTTGTTATTCAACTGTTAACAATTTGCCTGGCACTCTGCTCATCCTTTAGTAGAGCTGACTCCTTTAGAGCAATGTAAGGGAGATACAAATCATTCTTATTTACACAGAAGGAAATGGAGGCTTTACACTGTTGACTAGTGGTAAGCTTAAATCTTGGTTCACTGCGTAAAAATCAATTGCTTTTTCAGCGTTCCCTGCACTATACAGACAGCTCTTATTTGCCATATTCTCGGTCTCTGTCACAGTCAGTTGATGATAGGGAAAACACTATCTTTGCACACCTGTTTCATTCTGATAAACAAATATTTGATGGAGTTGATTATTTTGTGGACTAGTTTCTTCTCATTTTTCTTTCTATAGGATCTGCAACAGAAAAAAAAACCTTAGGTTTAATAGTACCAGGAAAAGCATGTAGATTTTTCAAACAAAATTCTGTAGTAGTTTTGGATTTTAAATGGCACCGTGTGAAGCCACTCAGAACATCAGCCCGGTCAAGTTATTTCTCACCTGAGTGAGGTTCTCATGCATTCACTGATCACTCCTTCTCCATCCTGTGTCATGCTCTGTTGTACACACTGGGAATATAAGATGCATAAAACAAACAAAAATCAGTATACTTGGAGTTAATGCAATTGAGAAAGTAAAAATAATAAGTTCTTTCCTTTCTTTTTTTTATTTAAAGAAAAGGAAACGAAAAAAAATACATGGAGAAAAAGAAAGGGTAGAAATAATACTAAATTACAGACAAACAAAAGGTAAGAAATTGCCGGTTGATAAGTTACAAATTGTCATCTTCGAAATGGCTGTTCAGGTTATAGAATTAAAGTATTTAGAATGACATTCAAAAAAGTGACCCTACAAACCATTCTGCTCTATGATCGAACAAAAGCTCTGTAATATGATTATCAGTCCCACCTATTTGTTTTACATCTCAAAGAGGGTAAGGTTAACCATATCAAAACAGAACAGAACATTTAAAAAAAAATAAAAAACAGTTTAAAGAAATACAGATTTCAAAGCAAGTCCACTGGAGATCTTCCTTATCTAACTGTCTCTAGCTTCTTACAAATAGTTGTCCCTAACTTCACCCACTTTATATACTTATTGCATATTATAGAACTAATCAAATCATTACAGGATGATGAAGTCTTTTTAGGTCCTCAAGTTCCAAATTAGGGAAGACAATAGCAACTACCATCGCATCTCTCATTCTCTTTGTGATAGCCGTCCCCATCTCTGCATATGCTGAAGTTGAGCTGAAGAAACCAGTCCAATGTCATTCTAATCAGCAAACAATAGATTGCTAGAATTTATATTATAATGCTACAAAATAAGCCTCGGGTTTTTCAGGTCTCTTCCTCAGAGTATTTGTTCCTATCCTCTCTGTATTATAGGGAAAACCAAGTCATAACAAGACAGCGAAACAATTTCCTAGAAAAACATGCAATGGATAAGACTTATAAAACTATAATATAAATGATCTTCCGTAGCTACTATGTTTTCTCTTGTTATTTTCAATAGATTTGTCCACAACACTGGCTTATTATAGTTAAACATACTATCACCTATTTTTATAAAAACTTAACCTTGACTGCACTGTAGTATTTGAGAGCTGTTACTGATTCATACCAGTATGGATATCCTTTACATCTTGTCATGCTCAGAGTAGTTTCCTCTACTTTTAGGGTTGATTCTAACATGCATACCGATTTCAAATAGGATCAGTCAAGGCCAACCAATAGTCTTATGATTCAGATACAATTAAGATCAGTCATAGTAAGACAATGTAAGTAATACAGGATTTCAGCCTAAGTCAATAGGAAAGTAAGGATAGTTACCATGCTATAACCTGCTATTTTTGGTTCTAGAGGTCTGTGTCCTCAAATCTGACATGAGTGGACAGACCAGAACAAATTTAATTCAATCTAAATATGGCGCTAGGACTACTGTGTCTTTTAAATCATTATACACCATTAGCAATGACCTCTGCTTTTTTTTTAAATATAGTTTCAGAGCTGTCTCTACTAAAGACTAGCTTACTGTCTCTGCCTCATGTCTGCTACTCCACTTTTCTGCTATAATTTGTCCACCTTATTCCCTCATTCCATTGTCTGCCCCGTTCACTGAGGCCTCTCTGCCACTGTAGCTGGAATCCTGATATCTCTTCTTCTCTTTCTCTGTAATGTCCTTCAGCGCTCTCTGTAGGGTTGGATTGGTGGCCACGAACTCCCACAGTTCCTCCTTGTCTTGAAAGTATCTTATTT